AAGTGAAAGACTGTAGACTTCTTGCAATTTGTGTCCCATATTGTAAAGGCCAGTAAATGCAGAACCATTGTGAGAAGTTTCTTGCATTTAGCCTGTATTCAGTTATTACTGCAAAGAATAAGGTGGGGATAAAAGCTGCCTTAGGTACTCAGTAATTACTTTCAGAAGTTAGGAGAGATAACGTGTTTGCCATTCTACAGGTTTGGCTTCCGGAAACCTAAAGTTTAACTGAGTTGAATGTTTAACTGTGATAAAATGTTTACTAATATTTGTCTGCCCTCTAGTGGTTAATAGAGTGATTACATCTATACACATACTGAAGGTCTAGCTCTGGATAGCACAGAAACAAGACACACACTATGACTATGCTAACATCTTGAATATTTTGCAATTTCTACATTATAATTTTTTGCTTAGTCCCATGACAAATTCTTCACAATTTCACATTTACTACCCTGGAGTCCTAATGTGTAGTAAGATCTAAAATACCATCTACATCAAAACTAAGTAAAACAGGGTGTCGGATGCTTCACTGGTTAGAATCAACACTTTACACGACCTACATTAACGTTGTTGAATTTATTGTTTAAGGTGATGTCATTGCATCATCTTAAAACTTTAGATTTTATAGTCAAACAATATGACGATAAATTCTGTAATGTCTCCTCTTCTAAGACTATTTACATATTAGGAGCCTCAGTGCTTGCAGTGATCTGGATCCAAACTGCAGCACTTTTCCAGAAAAAGTAAACATTTAGTCCTTTTTAATAGAGTAATACAAAATAGTACAAAGACTGAATTAGCAAGTGGTAAAAACATAGATTTAATTAAAACCAGGCCATTTTATTTGGTCAGGCCTGTTGTATCCATGTTTGAAGAGATGGCATAGCAGCTAAACAATGCCTGAAACTTCAATTCCCTGGAGGCATTGGCTCAATGCCCGACAGACAATTCAGCCTTGCAAGGTAGATTAACTGAGCTCTATGCAGTTCTCTGTATGGGTGTTAATATATTATACGAATAACTTTCTCCTCTAGATGGACATTAAAATCCACTAACATTTTTTTATACTGCAAAGTTTTGCCTTGGAGATCTTGGGCAAAAATTTCCCCTCTTCTTAGTTTGTTCCTATTTTCCAGACACAAGGATGGAGTTATTTGTTGTGCTGTCTGGATACATTTCCTAAGCCACTTTAAGATGAAGAGCATAGGCGTGCACAGTACATTTCATTAGGGTGTGCACCCAAAGAAGTTTTTTTTAAATGTACTCTTTGACCCCCCATTAGCCACACCTCTGGAGGTAACACTCTCAGGACAAGATGGACACACGACCAGAAGTAAAAGGTTTCATGTGATCCTAACTTCGATCGAATCCTGGCAAGTGTGGTCAGGTCATTAATAGTTCTCATCTTGCCAATAAGATGTTTGTACAAACACAAAGCCTGTTCAACAGAACTACTCTCTACCCTAAATCCCACGCAATTGTTCTGAACCTCTATATCTTGCTCACATGTTTTCCCATCCATTTTTGTTTTCTTCACTAGAGGTGGGACTGTGTAGACATTTTCATTTTTAATTTTAAAAAATCTGTGAATATGTTGACGCTTTGAACTGCGTGGAGAGGCCAAAGCTCAAATAATTATTCAGACTGTCACACTCAACACACATCCTGATGTTCTGACTTTTCAACTGCTTAAAATTCTGTGCTAATTACAAGCCATTTTCTGCCCCTCTAATTCATAGTGAGGAGTTGTGCCTTATTGAGTGGTTCTATCAATTTAAAATGGATTATGCATAAAGTGATGTACAACTGACCGTGTATTAGGGTGGCAGATTCTGGCCTTTAAATTGCTAAACTGTCAAATGGGCACATAATATAATATCTAACATAATATTCAACATTATCTTCTTACTGGTATGGTAGCTATTACTACATGTCATTGTTACAAGGTCTTCCAAGTCCTTTTAGTTTGGCATGCACATAAGTTTTGTACAATGGGTGTGAAGAAGAATTTTCGCTTATTAGTGTTAAGCCTGCTACCCGTTAATTTCATTTGGTGTCCTCTAGTTCTTATATTATGGGAACTAATGAATAACTTTTCTTTATTCGCCCTCTCCACACCACTGATTTTATAGACCTCTATCATATCCCCCCTCAGTATCGTCTTTTCTAAACTGAAAAGTCTCAGTCACTTTAGTCTCTTCTTACATGGGACCTGTTCCAAACCCCTAATCATTTTAGTTGCCCTTCTCTGAACCCTTTCCATGGCCAAAATATATTTTTTGAGGTGAGGAGACCACATCTGTGCACAATACTCAAGATGTGGGCATACATAGTTTTATACAGGGGCAGTAAGATATTCTGTGTCTTCTTTTCTATCTCTTTCTTAATGATTCTTAACATCCTATTTGCCTTTTTGACCGCCACTGCACACTGTGTGGACGTTTTCAGAGAACTAGCCACGATAACTCCAAGATCTCTTTCCTGATTTGTCATAGCCAAATTAGCCCCCATCATCCTCCTCTGCTATCCTGACTCCTGCCCTTATCACTGCCCTCAGCCTACCTGAGACCTGCCCCCCTCCACCAGCCCTTCTCTCCTCTCTGTGCCCACTCCTCCAGTAGTCCCACTCTGATCATGTAAGCTACCCCTCCTCATCCCCTCTCCTAACACCTCCCTCTACACACTTGCCCTGCCTCTCTCCTCTGGAGCCG